GTGGAGCTGGAGGAACACAGCAGGTCAGGCAGCATCAGAGGAGCATGAAAGCTGACGTTTCAGGTGGGGAAATTTCTGCAGGATCCCGACCCGAAACACCAACTTTCCTGCTCCTCTGATGCTGCCTGACCTGCTGTGTTCCTCCAGCTCCACGCTGTATTATCTCTGACTCCAGCATCGGCAGTTCTTGCTGTCTCCACCATTGAAATCACATTTGTTCACTTTTTGTGCGCAGAGATACGGGTCATGAATCAAGGTATGTTGTTACAAACCGAGGTGCATAGTTATTGTGGGGGAAGGTTCTCTCCCGTGTTCATGAGCTCCGGAGAGAAGTAATGAGAGTTTTCAACAGTGCATGACCTGCCGTATAAAGAGTTACTGTCTGATGATTACTGTTGGAATAAGCTAGCAAATCTCCCAGACATTTTCACCTTCCGAATATGCTGAATACTAAAACGCAGGGGAAGATCTAGATGATTCCGATCATCACAGATAAACTTCAAGATTTCAGGTCAAACGGAGCCTTTAGCAAGAGTTAGAGGCAGTGGGTGCACTTGAGATGTTTCCACTGGCATTGTCAGCAGTAGATACAGTTGTCAAGTTGCATTACCTCATATTAAAACATCTCAATGCACTCACTGCTAGAGAAGATCAAATTCTACTTCTCTTCAACAAACGTGGAACACTATGATTGGATACGTGATCCATTTACCAGAGTTCCCCAATTTACAAACATTGAACTTAAGAAAGCTCGTACTTACGAAATCGATCCCGGCTACGGGTTTAATTTGAAAGATCCGACATATAAAAAAAATCCTGCACTTACACACAGCTGCTTTGTACTATGTTGCATTGTGTTCTGACGTGCATACAAATCGACTTGCGAACGGACTCCGGAACAGAATCTGTTCGCAAACCTGGGACTGACTACCTGTTCTGAGGAAGGGATACGGGACCCGAAACGTTACCTCTTTTATTTTTCTTCACGGATGCTGCCAGACCTGCTGAGCTTTTCCAGCAACTTCTGTTTTTGATCATGACTGCCTGTAGTTCACTGTTTTCCGATTCATCACAAAAGCTGAGATTAAAAGACAAAGTGGAATATGCAGAGCCATGAATGGACTGTACAATGAAGCTAAAGTTTGGAGAGGTGTCTGTTTCTGTGTTTTGACTAAGTAACTAAATATCTGACGATCTCTGACCATGCTATTGCCGTACGCTTGCTGTTTGCGACATTGTACCTCTGCGAGCTAGCACTTTCTACACAAAAAAAAGGAGGGAGTACTCGACAGTGGGGCAAGATTTGTTGCTGGCCCTCTCAACAATTGCCCTCCTGATCAAAAGACCCTGCACACACTGACTGGCCCATTGCAATTTGCTTTGCATTTTGTTCTGATCCGTCATTTGTGAACAGTCAGAAATAGTTAAGTTGAGCAGATCTTGAAAATGTGTCTGATGCTTGCAGTTGAAGATGGTGTATTCTTACTGGTGAATTTAAAACATTAATGCATTTGACCCTTCTTTAGCTCAACGCTCTATGTTGCAAAACTCTGTAGTAAGACCGTAACATAGTGAATACAAGTAAATGTGACATTAATGAGCAATCAATTCAGCTGAAAAGAAGTGGGTACAATGTAGAATTGTTTGTTTTATCAAAGTGTGCCTTGATACTGGAAAGATTGGGAAACACTGCACTAGGTTTATATGTGGTATGAAGACCATTCAGCATTGAGCCTGCTCCAGCATTCAACGAAATCATAACTGATCCAAAAACCCTCATTTCCATTTTTCTGCCTTTTCTCCATCACCCTTGCTTCCCTTACTGATTAATAATCTGTCTATCTCAGCCTTGACTATACATAACAACTTAGTTTCCTCAGCCCTTTGTGGTAAACAGTTCCGTAAATTCACCTTCTGACAGAAAAAAAAATCTTCACTTAATTGTGGCCCCAGTACTGATCCTTGTGGCACTCCACTGGTCACAGGTTCCATTCTGAAAATTCCCTATTTAGTCCAACTGTCTGCTTCCTATGAGATAGTCAATTCCCTACCTATGCTAAAACACTACCCCTACACCATGGGCTCTTATCTTATTAAGTAGTCTTATGGGCAGTGCCTTATCGAGCACCTTTTGGAATTACAAATATATTACACCTGCTGGTTCTGTTTTATCTATCCTGTTTGTTCCTTCTTCAAAGAACTGTAATAAATTTGTCTGGCATGATTTCCCCTTCACGACGCCATGCTGACTCTGCTCAATTTTATAATGCATATCTCAATGCTCTGCTATTACATTCTTTATTATAGACTCTAACATCCTTCCCATGACAGATGTTAAACTAACTGGCCTATTATACCCTTTTCAAGTCTCTCACTTTTTGAGTAAGGGTGTTATGTTGGCATTTTCCAATCCTCTGGAACTTTTCTTGAATCTAAGACTTCTTGAAAGATTACTACCAGTGCATCTAATATTTCTGAAGCTACTTCTACAGAATTCTACCATCTGTGGAAGATTTGTATTCCCATGGCCCAGTATATCCCTCAATCAACTATTACCATTAAATCAGGGGATAAGTGCACATCAGTGCAAAAGACAAGGCTGAAACATTTGCAATCAATGATCAGCCAGAACTGCTCAACCTTCTTTTCCATCATTGATAGGAATCAAGTTTTATCTGACATTATAGATCTCAATCTTCAGCCAAATCACTCCATGTGATACTAAGAATTAACTGAACATACCAGACACAGCAAAAGCTCTAGGCCTTCACAACAACCCAGTTACAGGACAGAAGAGATGGCAAGAACTGCAGATGCTCAAGTCAAAGTCACTACAATGTGAAGCTGGAGAAACACAGTAGGTCAGGCAGCATCGGGGAGCAGGAGAGTCAACATTTCTGGCCTAGATCCTTCATCAGGACTGATAAAGAGTCTAGTACAAAACATCAACTCTCCTGCACCTCTGATGCTGCCTGACCTGCTATGTTCCTCCAGCTTCACACTGTATCGACTGTAATAGAGAAGACTTGTGCTGCAGAATTACCACATGTAGTCAAGTTGTTGTAGAACTGCTACAACACTGACATCTACCCAACAATGTTAAAATTTCCCAGGTATGTTCCATGCAAACTATTACCGCATCAGTCTACTTGCAGTCATCAGCAAAGCGATAGAAGGTGTCATTGATAGTGCTCTCAAGTTGTACTTACTCAGCTAAATCTGTTCACCAAAGCTCAGTTTGGATTCCATCAGGAACACTCAGCTCCAATCCTCAAAACAGCCCAAGTATGGATAAAGAGCTGAATTATAGAGGTGAGGTAAAGTGGCTGCCATTTACATCAAGGCAGCATTTTGACTCAGTATGGCATCAACAAGCCCAGGCAAAATGAAAGCCAAAGGGAATCGTGGAAACTCTCCACTGTTTGGAGTCATACTATGCACAAGGGAAGATGATTGTGGATGATGGAAGAGTTCCTCAGGGTAGTTTCCAAGAATGAAACATCTTCAGTTACCTCATTCATTGAAAACCTGATGGTGAGTTGCCTTCTTGCACCACAGCAGTTCATCTGGTGCAGGTAGACCACATTGTGTTGTACAGAAGGGGGTTTCAGGATCTTGATCCAGTAACGGTAGGATTGGCACAAGAGTTTCAAGTCAGGATTAGGCTGTGGTTTGGAGAATAACATGCTAAGAGTGGTAACAATAGTGCCTTGCTAGGCAAGTGCCATCTCCAATAAGAGAGAATCAAACCAGTTCCCCCCGACCTTTGACACCATTATCAGTGTTGAACTCTCCATCATTAACAGCCTTTGAGGACTATTGACTGAAAAATTAAGACTTAGTTCCTCTGGTCCCAATTGGGATAATGGGCATCAAGACTCTGTCACTAGACCTGATTTATAGTCATTTCTTGGTCTAGTCCAGATCATCTTTGGCTGGCCCCATCTTCTTCTTCTATCTGGTAGTGTCCATCCTACTGCCATTCCAGCAAGATGAGGACAAGAAACTCAAACTAATCAGATATTCAAAAATTGTGGCTACAGGATTAAGTCAGAGCTGGAAATTCTGCAGTGAGTAGTTCACCCTCTTATCCCCTAAAGTCTGTCCACCATCTACAAGACACAAGTCAGCAGTGTGATAGACAACTCTCCACTTGCCTAGATGAATATTGCTCCAACAACACTCAGGAAGCTTAGTAACATCCAGGACAAAACAGCCCCTTTGTTGAAATCCCATTCACGACCTCCAGCATTCATTACCTCCACCAGCACCAGAGTCCAATGTCAGCAGTGTATCTACAGAATGTGCTGCAGCAACTTTGCAAAGCTGCCTTCAACAGCACCTTTTGAACCAGGTGTCTATCCTAGGGGCAGCAGATGCACCTATTGGGTCCTCTCCAAGCCACATTTCATTATGTTTTGGAACTGTACTGCTGTATCTTCACCATTGCAGAGCATCACGCTATATGACCTGACAGTGAAGGGCAAATTGAGACGGGGGAACAAACGCTGACCATCTCATGGAACAACATTAAAATTATGCACGTTACAGTACCACTATCAGTCACTCATATGTAATAACTCCTTAAAGAAATTCAGGAACCATTTGTGTTTCCACAGTTTTAATACTGGTGCTCCATATTTTAATGTCAAAATCCAGATTTCACAGTCACATGGGGAACGCTACAGCAGTCCTCAACTGCAATGCACGTTGGTTACAGGCAGAAAGCAACTGGTAAAAGAAGCAATTTGTGCCTATGAAATCAGTTAGCAAATAGAGAGGTGGGGTTACTGATTCGATAGTGGCGCTGTCGGAGGTACAGTATAGCATTGAGGTGACGGGAAGATGGCATGGGCCAGGGCAGTGTCAACTCAAAGGTTTCCAGTTCGTCAGAGTGTGAGGAAACGTCAACCTGGTTGGTAACGACACCAGTACGAACAGGAAACGGAAATCAGGGTTTCTCAGCAACTGCTCTATTGCCTGTTGCTCGGGAGATTAGATCAAGCAAACGAAACGAGACAGAAAAGGAAGGGGAGAGAGAGAGAAGATGGACACAGAGAGGTGAATCGATCCATATTGGCGAAGATAGCAAGAAAAGATAGGGATAAAAGTCAACTTGGAAAGGGATTTCAGTTCAGTGGCAGAAAAATAGCATGTCGAGCCAAAGAGAGAAGTAAGCTCCTAAACATTCGTTTGCAAAGACTGGCAGCTCAGCAGGTACTGGGACACGAAGATAAGGGGCAGATACAACGGGAAGGACGGCCCAGGGTCGACGATGTTCGGACCTTCGCGGGTTCCTGTCCAGGAACAGATCTGGGATTTGCAGAAAAAAATCCAATTATTGGGTGAGTTTGGTTGGATATATCAAAGAAATACAATGGAAGAGAATGAGCACACCAGTCTGACACCTCGTGTCCCCAATGATAATATTTCTGGAGACTCAAACAGGTCAGATATTTTAACTCGGGATGTGTAAGAAATTCTTCACTTGATTCCTTCGATTTGCGAGAATTAAAAGCAAGATAGCAAGGTAAATGGAGAATGGGAAAGAGGAAGAAAAAAAGGAAGGAAATAGAAACTGTGAGAAAAAAAGATTCATGAATGTGAGATAAAGGAAACTGAAGAGGCAGAAATGAGTGCAGAGAGGATGCATTAGTCTGAGCAGTATTCATCCTATCAGTTAGAGAATAGAAGAGAATACCCTTTCGTGATAATTGCCAAGGATGACCGAAAGCATCAGTGAGTTGCAATTAAACAGGGACCTAAAATTCTTCATAAATTTTCCGTGAAAATTTCAGGATTTTACCGTGGAAAAATAAGCCAAAGTTCTTTCCAATTCGCTGATTTACTTCAAAAACAGAAGTTACTGGAAAAGGTCTGACAGCATCTGTGAAGAGAAATCAGAGTTAACATTTTGGGTCCGGTGACCCTGATTTGCTTTTTTTCCTCCATTTTGATTTAATTGGACTTGATTTGATGTGATTTATTGTCACGTGTACCTAAGTTACAGTGAAAAGCTTTGTTTGCGAGCAGTACAGGCAGATCATAGTAAGCAAGGATGTACAGATCATAGGGTGAATAAAAGAGTTGGATATAGTAAGCCATACAGATTACACTGCACAGAACATGCGCGAGGCAAGGTCAGCATTATTTGAAATTACAGTCCACTCATCAGTCCAATAACCGTAGGGAAGAAGCTGTTTTTGAACATGCTTGTTTGTGTGTGTGTGTGTGTGTGTTCAAGCTTTTGTTTCTTCTGCCTGATGGAAGAGGTTGTAAGGGAGCATTACCGGGGTGGGATGGGTCTTTGATGATGTTGGCAGCCTTTCTGCAGCAACAAGACATGTAAATGGAGTCCATGGATGGGAAGTTCACTTCTGTAATGGTCTGGGCTGTGCACACAACTTTCTGTTGTTTCTTATGGTCCTGGACAGACCAGTTGCCGTACCAGGCCGTTAGCACCCAGAGAATATGCTTTCTTTGGTGCATCTGTAAAAGTTGGTGAGGGTACTTATGCACATGCCAAATTTCCTGAGCCACTTGAGGAAGAAGAGGCATTGTTGTGCCTTGACCATTGCATCCACATGGAAAGTCCAGGACAGGTTGTTGGTTATTGTCACTCCGAGGAAGCTCTCAACTCTCTCAACCTCAGCACTGTTGATGTAGATGGGGGCGTGTTCTCCTCCTTTCTTTATGAATCAATGATCGGTTCTTTAGTTTTGCCGACATTGAGAGAGAGTTTGTTATCATTGCACCACATCATCAAGCCATCTATCTCCTTTCCGTATTCTGACTCATTGTTTGAAGCCCATCCTACCACGGTGGTGTCATCAGCAAACTTGTAGATGGCGTTTGTTTGGAATTTGGCAACAAAGTCATGAGTGTACAGGGAGTACAGTAGGAGGCTGAGGATGCATCCTTGGGGGGCTCCGGTGTTGAGTGCTATCATGGAGGAGGTGGAGTCTGTCTTCACTGATTGTGATCTTTGGATCATGAAGCTGAGGATCCAGTGCAGAGGGTGGAGCAAGACTTAGGTTTTCTCCCTTTGCCTGAAGTGGTCACCTTCAGGTTAAACCACCACCTGTAGTCTCTCTCCAAAGAGAGAGCAGCCTATGGTTGGTAAGACTACGGTTACTTTACTCTATTTTACTGGTTCCCTGACCAGGGTAAGATTATCCACAGAAGCAGAACATCCTAACCTTATTGACTGGTTTATTTCAGAGGGTGATCATAAGGCTTACTATGAAAGTTCACAGTGCAAAATCAAGAAGAACAAGGACACCATTCAATATGTCAGAGAAGAAAATAAAAGCCTGCACAGAGTACTTGCAGGGGCATTGGTGGTAAGATCAAATCCTTCTCAACGTCTCCCTTTGCCTGATGTGTGATGACTCTCGGGTTCAACCAGCACTTGTCGGCTCTCTTCAATAAGAGACCAGCCCTATGGTCGAGTCGGACTATGTCGACTTGTTGGCCTTGAATTTTGATTTCACTGACTTGCTCTCAAGCTCAGTAATTCTCCTCTATTGTAACAAATTTCTGTAGAAGTTGCATGTGTGCTTTTAATTGCCTTCATTGCAATATTGGAGAAACAATAAAGCTGCATTTTTGCAGCACCTTTTAAATAGAAAATGTGCAAAAGTGTTTCACAAAGAAACCGGGGAGTAACTGAGAATATTATAAATAATATACGCTGAGCTATTGAAAAATAAATTGGAAAGATTGATGAATGTCTTGGTTGAAAAGTTGGGTTTTAAGGAAGTGAATCAGATGAGGGTCCAATGAGTCAGTGTAAAGTTGCTGAAGGATGTAGAAAAGCAGATGCCAAAGGAAGTTTGTGGGCATTTCACAGAATCACAGGAAACAGGCCATTCAGCCCAACAAGTCCACACTGACCCTCCGAAGAGCATCCCACCTAGACCCATCTCCCTATCCTTTCCCTGTAATCCTACATTTCCCCCTGGCTAAGGCACTTAATCTATACATCCATGAACATTATGTGCAGTTTAGCATGGTCCATCCCGCTAACCTGTGCATCTTTGGACTGTGGGAGGAAACAGGAACACCCGGCAGAAACCCACGCAGACACAGGGAGAACATGCAAACTCCACACAGACAGTTGCCGGAGGGTGGAATTGAACACAGGTCCCTGGCATTGTGAGGCGGCAGTGCTAACCACTGAGCCACCGTGCTGCTGGAGGAGTTTGTGGAATTAGTGAGGCAATTGAAACATATGAAAATAAACCTTGTAAGTTTAATGGATTGTTAGACTGAGTTAATGTAGGTTATTGAGTAAGTGAATAATGGTCATTGGGCATTGTGGCTGAATATGTCTGTCTTCCCGGGAGTGGAGACCCTCGTCTTAATATCTAATCTGTATTCAAGATCAGGAACTAGAAGGTAAAAGGACAATGCGAAAATACACACAAATTAGTTTAGTTATAACCTGTCCACAGAATCCCTACGGTGCAGATAGAGGCCATTTGGAGACCCTCTAAAGGGCATCCCACCCTAACTCTGTAACCGCATGTTTACTATAGTAAACACACCCAGCCTGCCCACTACGGACCAATTGAGGATAGCCAATCCATGTAATTTGCACACCAGTTGCTGGGCATATCCATATAATTCTAGAGCAAGAATATTTTCAGTGTACGATAGGCATGGAGGTGAATCTCTCTGATTTTGCAACAATTGCCAACAGATTTCCACCCTCACCCCCCGTGTGACAGTCTGTCATTCCTCACTGTGGCGAGTTGCACCTTTCATAAAATCATACAGCATGGAAACAGACCCTTTGGTCCAACCAGTCCATGATGAACATAATCCCAAACTAAACTAGTCCCACCTGCCTGGTGCTGGCCCATATCCCTTCAAACATTTCCTATTCATGTATCTATTCAAATGTCTTTTAAATATTGTAACTGTACCCCATCCACCACTTCCTCAGGAAGTTCATTCCACACGCGAACCACCTTCTGTGTAAAAAGGTTGCCTCTCATGACTTTTTAAAATCTGTCTCCTCTCACCTTAAAAATGTGCCCCCAGTCTTGAAATCCCTTATCAAAGACAACTACTATTAACTCTATCTATACCACTCATTATTTAATAAGCTTCTATCTAGTCGCCTATCAATGTCCTCGGCTCCAGTAAAAAAAGTCCCAGCCTTTCCGGCGTTTCTTTATAACTCAAACCTTCCATACCTGGCAACATCCTGGTAAATCTCTTTTGAGCCCTCGCAAACTTGGTAATATCCTTCCTATAACTGGGCAACCAGAACTGGACACTGTAGTCCAGAAGAGGCCTGATCAACGTCCTGTACAATCTCAACATGAGTTCCCAAATCCTGTTCTCTAAGGACTGAACAATGAAGGCAAGCATGCCAAATGCCTTTTGACTTGATAGAGGTGTACAAAATGATCAGAGGTATAGCTAGAGTGGACAGCCAGAGACTTTTCCTAAGGTGGAGGTAGCTATTACGAGGGGGCATAGTTTTAAAGTGAATGGAGGTAGATATAGGGGAGATGTCAGAGGTAGGTTCTTTACTCAGAGAGTGATCGGGCGTGGAATGCATTGCCGGAGAGGGTAGTGGAGTTGGCCTCATTAGGGGAATTGAAGCGGCTATTAGATAGGCATATGGATGATAGTATAAGGTAGGGGTGGAGGTTAGATAGACCTTAGGTTTAGGGTAAAAGTTCGGCACAACATCATGGGCCGAAGGGTCTGTACTGTGCTGTATTGTTCTATGTTCTAATCACCCTGTCTATATGTGACGCAAACTTCAAAGAATTATGTACCTGCACCCCTAGGTCCCTCTGTTCTACAACACTACCTAAGATCCTGCCTTTAATTATGTAAGGCCTACCCTCATTTGTTGTACCAAAATGCAATATCTCGCATTTATCCAGGTTGAACTCCATCTGCTATTTTTCAGCCCACTGACCTATTTGATCAAGATCCCTTTGTTAATCTTAGAAAACCTTCTTCACTGTCTACTATGTCACCAATTTTGGTGTTGCCCACAAACATACTAACCATGCCTTCTGTATTTTCATTCAAATCAATTATATAAATGACAAACAAAAGAGGACCTAGAACCAATCCCTGCGGACGACTGCTGGTAACAGGCCCCCAGGCTAAAAAGCAACCCTCCACTATTATTCTCTGTCTCCTGCCATTAAGACAATTATGTTTCCAATTGGCAAGCTCACCCTGAATCGCATGTGATCTAACTTTACTAAATTAGTCTATCATGCAGAACCTTGTCAAAGGCTTTACTAAAATACAAATAAACAACAACAGCAACAATCTTTTTGTTAACTTTCTCAAAAAAACTCAATGAAGTTTGTGAAACATAATTTTCCTTGCTCAAAACCATGCTGATTATACCTAATCAATTTTTGCCTCTTTAAATGTCCATAAATCCTATCTTTTATAATCACATCCAACAATTTACTCATTACTGAAGTCAGACTCACAAGTCTATAGTTCCCCGGTTGCTCCTTACAACCTTTCTTAAACAAAGATACAATATTAGCCACCCTCCAGTCATCAGGCACCTCACCCATAGTTATAGTTGGTGCAAATATTTCTGCAGGGGGTCTCACAATTTCCTCTCTTACTTCGCACAATGTTCTAAAATACATTAGATAGGGTCCCAGATATTTATCCACCTTTATATTCTCTAAGACTTCCCAAACTTCCTCTTCTGTAAGGTGAATCAGAGATAGTAGGAACTGCAGACGCTGGAGAATCCGAGACAACAAGGTGCAGGGCTGGATGAACACAGCAGGCCAAGCAGCATCATAGGAGCAGAAAGGCTGACGTTTCGGGCCTAGACCCTTCTGTTTTTAAACATCAAAGTTTATTTCTCTGCATTCTCTAGACTCTATTTCTTTCTCCACAGTAAAAACTGACACGAAATATTCATTTTTTATTTCTCCTACCTCCTGGGGTTCAATACAAAGATGTCCTCCTTAATCTTTAACAGGCCCTACCCTCTCTTTAGTTACCCTCTTGCTCTTAATGTATTGATAGAATCTATTTGGATTATCCTTAACCTTATCTGCCAATGCTGTCATATGTTCGCAGTTCATCCATTTCACTAACACCTTCCACCCCAACCTTAAGTTTACCTGGACCATCTCTGATACTTCTCTCCCCTTCCTGAACCTCTCTGTTTCCATCTCTGACAACCACCTGGAAACCGATATCCATTTCAAGCCTAACGACTCTCACAGCTACCTAGAATACACCTTCTCCCACCCACCTTCCTGCAAAAATGCCATCCCCTATTCCCAATTCCTTCGCCTTCGCCTCCGCCTCATCTGCTCCCAGGATGAGGCATTCCACTCATGGACATCACAGATGTCCTTGTTTTTCAAGGACCGCAACCTCTCCCCCTCAGTGGTCGAAAACACCCTCGACCATGTCTCCCGCATTTCCCACAACTCATCCCTCACACCCCCTCCCCATAATAACAACCAAAACAGGATCCCTCTCATCCTCACGCACCACCCCACCAACCTCCAGATCCAACGCATCCTCCTCCGGCACTTCCGCCATCTGCAATCTGACCCCACTACCAAAGACATTTTTCCCTCCCCACCCTTATCTGCTTTCTGGAGAGACCACTCTCTCCGTGACTCCCTTGTCCACTCCGCACTCCCCACCAGCCCCACCACCCCCGGCACTTTTCCCTGCAACCGCAGGAAGTGCGACACCTGCCCCTACACCTCCCCCCTCACCCCCATCCCAGGCACTTAGAAAACCTACCACATCAAACAGATGTTCACCTGCACATCTGCTAATGTGGTATATTGTATCCGCTGTTCCCGAAGTGGCCTCCTGTACATCAGGGAAACCAAGCGGAGGCTTGGTGACCGTTTTGTGGAACACCTACACTCGGTTCGCAACAAATAACTGCACCTCCCAGTCGCGAACCATTTCAACTCCCCCTCCCACTCCTTAGACGACATGTCCATCTTGGGCCTCCTGCGGTGCCACAACGATGCCACCTGAAGGTTGCAGGAACAGCACCTCATATTTCGCTTGGGAACTCTGCAGCCCAATGGTATCAATGTGGACTTAGAACATAAGAACATAAGAACATAAGAACTAGGAGCAGGAGTAGGCCATCTGGCCCTTCGAGCCTGCTCCGCCATTCAATAAGATCATGGCTGATCCTTTCGTGGACTCAGATCCACTTACCCGTGTTCTCACCATATCCCTTAATTCCTTTATTGTTCAAAAAAAATCTACCTTTTTTTAAAAAACATTTACTGAAGTAGCGTCAACTACTTCACTGGGCAAGGAATTCCATAGATTAACAACCCCCTGGGTGAAGAAATTCCTTCTCAATTCAGTCCTAAATCTGCTCCCTCTAATCTTGAGGCTATGCCCTCTTGTCCTAGGTTCACCTGCCAGTGGAAACACCCTCTCTACTTCTATCTTATCTATTCCCTTCATAATTTTATATGTTTCTATAAGATCCCCCCTCAATCTTCTGAATTCCAATGAATATAATCCCAATCTATTCAGTCACAAGCTTCAAAATTTCCCCTCCCCCGACCGCATCTCAAAACCAGCCCAGCTTGTCCCCGCCTCCCTAACCTGTCCTTCCTCCCACCTATCCCCTCCTCCCACCTCAAGCCCCACCCCATCTCCTACCTACCAACCTCATCCCGCCCCCTTGACCTGTCTGTCCTCCCTGGACTGACCTATCCCCCACTAACTCCCCACCTATGCTCACCTTTACTGGCTCCACCTCCGCCTCTGCCTCTTTGACCTGTCTGTCTCCTCTCCACCTATCCTCTCCTCTATCCCTCTTCTATCCGCCTCCCCCTTTCTCCCTATTTATTTCAGAACCCCCTTCCCCTCCCCCATTTCTGAAGAAGGGTCTAGACCCGAAACATCAGCCTCTCTGCTCCTATGATGCTGCTTGGTCTGCTGTGTTCATCCAGCTCTACACCTTGTTATCTCATATCACCTCTTTGCCTTCCTGATTTCTTTCCTAAGAATGCCCCTACACTCTTTATATTGAGTAAAAGATTCAATTGAACCAAGTTGTCTATATCTAAAATAAGATTCTCTTTTATTCTTGACTAGAAACTCAATATCTTTATTCATCCATTGTTCCTTAATCTCACCAGCTTTAGGGTGAAGACCCTAACAGGAACATAATGCCTCTGAACTCTTGGCATCAAACTCTGGAATGCCTCCCACTGGTCAGACATCTTTTTACCTGAGAACAGTCTGTTCCAATCAACTTTTGAAAGTTCTTGTCTCAAAGTATTAAAATTTGTCTTACTCCAATTAAAACTTTAACTTTTATGGAAGGCTCATCCTTCTTCATAACCATTTTGAAACTAATAGAATTATGATTGCTAGACCCAAAGTGTTCCGCTACTTTTACTTCAGTCACCTGCCTTACCTTATTGCCCAAAAGAAGGTCTAGTTTTACTCTTTCTCTAGTAGGAGCATCCACATATTGATAAAGAAAATTTTCTCGAACACATTTGACAAATTTTCAGCATCCAAACCTTTAACACAATGGTAGCCCCAGTCAATGTTTGGAAAATTAAAATCCCCCATTATTACAACCTTATTATGCTTACGTAAATCTGAGATCTCCCTACGTATTTGTTTCAATTTCCCTCTTACTACTGGGGGGCCTGTAGTGTAATCCCATCAAAGTGATCTTTCTTATTTGTAATTTCTACCCACATATTTTTACTGGATGATTTTTCAGAAATATCTTCCCTAGTTACAGCAGTAATGTATTCCTTAATCAAAAATGCCACACCCCGCCTCCTTTCTTGCCTATTTTTCTACCCTTCCTAAAGCATCTAAAACCCAGATCATTCAGCTTTGATGGGATTACACTACAGGCGCCCCAGTAGTAAGAGGGAAAATGACTGTTTCTCAGCCAAGTTTCTGTAATAGCTATGATGTCCCAATCCCATGTTCTTACACATGCCTTGACTTAATCAGCCTTACCTGTCAGACCCCTTGCATTGAAATAAATGTAATTTAGTTCTTCAGAGATACTATACACTCTGACTCTCTCTTGTCTTTCGCTTCTAACTAACGTGCTCTCCTCACATTCAGAGCCTTCCCCATAAATCTTTCTGTTTACACTGCTACTTAGAATTCCTCCACTTCCCCTCTCTATCAGCATAAAGTCTCCCTTAATGGAATGAGCAAATCTCCCTGCTAAGATATTGGTCCCTTTCCAGTTTAGGTTAAACCCATCTGTTTTGAATAGGTCTTTTGTATCCCAAAAGACATTTCAATTGTCCAAAAACCTGAATCCCTGAACAATACATCAGCTCTTAAGCCAATGATTTATCTCCTTTAACCTTTTGCTCCTTCCCTCATTTGAATTTGACATTGGGAGTAAACCACAAATGACTACTTTTATGGTTCTAGTTTTTAATCCTCTACCTAACCTCTTAAATTCACTCTGTACTGCTTTAATCTTTTCCCTAAAATGTCTTTCCTACCAATGTGTACAATAATTTCTAGCTTCTTAATCTCGCTTTTAACAATATGCTTGGAACGTTTAGAGACGTCCTTAATCCTAGCACCAGGAAGGCAACAAACCATACTAAATTTACGCTCACTACCACAGAATCTCCCGTCTGTGCCACTGACAGGACAGTCCCCTATAACAATAATTCTATTAAATCATGTCAAACGCTGCCTAACAGAAGAATCATTCCAAGTATCCAATAACTGACTGCCCCTTCCATTTTCCTTGAGGAGACTATCCCCCTCTACAGTTCCAAAACTGAACATCTATTTGATAGAGGAATAGCCACCAGAGACTTTTGAACTATCTTCTTGCCTTTTCCGAATCACTCATCTATCTGACTGATCCTACTGTGTAATAACTTCTCTAAATCTACCAGCCATCTCACTGTGTACCTCATAAATGGCCTTAATAACATTAAGCCAAAAAAGGAATTTTCAATAACACCATATATATATATATTTAACATATAAAACTTAGATAAAATCAACCACTTAGCTGATTAACTGAAGAAAGAAAGACTCCTCTTCAGTAAATTCCTCAAAAAAAATCTTTTCCAGAGCTGACCACATGTAGGACTCCCCAAAACAAAAACACAACTTATTTTAAAGAAAACTGTGTTTTTCAAAAAAAACTTTTGCAATGTAAAAAACACCCTCTAAAACACATTGTCTTTTTTAACTTCTGAATTTAGAATTAAAAAAACTCAGCCGTTCACTGTAGAAAAGCTCATTTAAAAAAAAGTCTCTTCCACCTCACTGCCCTATCTTAGATTGACGCCTCTGCGTTGTGTCAGATCTTACCCCTATCCAATGTTTTTATATATCTTAAGGGATGGCTTAATGGCTTAATTTATGGGAATACATTTGAATTTTGTGTTTCAGAGCAATGAGAAACTTGTTAAAGAATCATTTCAAGACCATCATGAGAAAGCAGCACTGAGAAATAAGAGTGGAAAGGTGATTGTCGAATGGATGTTCCTGACAGCTATTGCAAAATCAAATGTGATTCAAAACCTCTTAAAAATGGTTATAGGTGAAAAGAGAAACACAAACCAAAACACTCCATTTTTTAATTCCATGATCCTGAGAACAAGGTAGACATTTGTTACAAGTATTTATAAGAATGATACCTGGACTTTAGGAATTAAGTTATGTGGCGAGATTATACAAATTAGGCCTATGTTCTCTAGAATTTAGAAGGTTAAGGGGACACCTGATCAAAGTCTTCAAGATATTAACAGGAAAATACAGGGTAGATAAATTATTTCCATTGGTTGGGTTTCTAGAACTAAGGGGCATAGTCTAAAAATAGGGCCAGACCATTCAGGAGAATTATTAGGAAGCACTTCTACACAAAGAATAGTAGATTTTTGGCATGCTCTTCCACAAATGGTAATTGTTTCTAGATCAGTTGTTAGTTTTAAACCTGAGATAGATTATTTTTGTTAAGTAAAGATATTAAGGGATATAAAGGGAAATTAAGGCAAGCATATGGAGTTAGGCCACAGATCAGCTGTGATCTCCCTAAGTGGCAGAGCAGGTTTGAGGGGCTGAATGGCCTATGTTCCTATTTGTGTTTTGTCAGAGAGGCCTCATCCTGTGGTAAACTCAAAATTCTCTGAAGTTTGCTTTGTTCTAGGAGGTTGTTGTGGGAGGAAAGATTTTTGGACTGTAGAAATTTGCTGCTAGTTGGAGGCTATGTACTGCCAGGGATGACACTAATAGCCAGCCAATCTTGTAATCATTGCTGCTCAAGATATTTGGAATTTAGTATGACTACAAACTCCATGCCTATTTCAACATCAGCATGCTTTAGCCTTAAAGCCATAAATGAATCGTTATTGGATGCCTCAGTTAGCCACTCACAACTTGAACTGAATCATTGCTATCATACATAATGGGAGCTAAAAGGAAACAGTCTGATGAAATGGGATTCTGTACAATTAGAAGGAATAGAAAGGTTTTGGCCCTTTGGGATTCTGTACAATCAGAGTCAAAATGATTTTAGAAACAAAAACAGAAATTGCTGGAAAAGCTCAGCAGGTCTGGCAGCGTCTGTGGAGAGAAATCAGAGTTAAAGTTTCAGGTTGAGTGATCCTTCCTCAGAATGAACGTTGTTGAAAACATGGGGACAAATGATTACTCACAAAGATAAATGCCTCCCAATCTATTTTCCTGCGCAATCCCATTTTAACACTTAACTCTGAGGAAGGGTCGCTTGACCTGAAACATTAACTCTTATTTCTCTTCACAGATGCTGCTAAACCTGCTGAGCTTTTACAACAATTTCTGTTTTTGTCCCCAGACTTATAAAAGTTTTTTTAGTGTAAAGTACAAGAACAAGCAACAGTTGGGTTTTAGTTGAATAACATCTTTCGCATCTAATATAGCAATTTATAACAAAATATGAATTTAATTAAATGCTTTCATGCCTCATTCATTGCGCAGGATGTCATTATGGTGATGGACCAGAAAGTTTGTGATAAGATTAAGCGCCTGAATGCTCTTAAGCATGTGACAGAGATGAAGAAGAAAATTCAGTTGGACCTGGAGATGCAATACAGCAAGAATATGCAGGAAGTGAAAGCCCTGCAAGAGATCATGGAGAATGTGTCCGAGGATGCACAGGTGAAACTGCCAGTTCAAAGAAAAGTCAATGGGCAATTTTTAATACATCAACTTTTAAAAAAATTAGTCCTCTAAAAGAGGGTGTAAAAGGTAGATCCCTGTTAGCATTCACATAACTTCCTGAGAGTGAAGTTCTCACCCCCTGTCAGGGTGTTGGGAGCAAGCTGTTTGGTACAACCTTTGGGACTGTCACTTGAGATAATCACCGGCTGCTTATTTGTCATTGCCACTGAACATTGTGCTTTTATTGAATGCGTTTTAAATAAGCTGCTAAACAAATTCTTAAGTTATCTCTGCTGTCACTAACTTCAGACCTTGCGGCTCCTGGAGAATCGTTTGGAGAAAACCCAGCTAAAGTATCGTGAGGCAGTGCATGTGATGAAGGTGTACCAGAGACTAAAGGCACATCTGCAGGTATGACTACCTTTTATTTGCAACATAACCTGCTATAGCCTTGCAATTCCCAGTGTTGCTATGATGGAAAAGGGGAGATGTTGATCAGAACATCAAGTTACATCCGAGGTACATTGACAAATTCTATTTTGATTATGAGCACAAACTGGTTAAACTGGAACATCAAAAATCTCTATAATTGCTTTTTTACTCCATGGAAAGTACCCTGTTAAGTGGGTGATGAATATTAACTGTATTTATATTATCGAAACCTGTCCTCACACTAATTCTGTTAAGGAAAGTGGCAAAGTGGAAAGCTGTAGATTTCTTTCTGCAATTTAATTTCCCAGAGCAATGTAATCTGGCGCTAGGTCATCTGGACAAGTACATTGCAAGCACTTAGACAGGACTCACAGGAACAAGAGGAGGCAAGTCAGTCTAGCCTGTTTTGCAATTGTAAGATCTTGGCTGATCAATACTTTATCCTTATTTCCTGCTTTTCCCACCTTCGATACTCATTCCCAACCAAAATCTACTGATCTGAATTGCTGTCCAATTGCTTGTCTGTCTATGATGTTCCCCTAATGGACAATGATAAAATGTGGGGTCAACACTGGGCACTTGGGACAGAGTAGTGGTGACCTAGAGAGATATGCAGACAGAATGTATCAAAGGACATTCTTTATGCAAAGTATGTGGCCGGGTGGTTACACAGTGACTAGGATAAGAGAGGGGGTTTGTATGTGAAAGGCAATGTCAATCTTGCCAGTTATGTGCTGTATGTAACGTGGTTTTGTATCTGCTATGCCATTACGCTGCCTGTGACGCCAGATTTCAAACACTTGTCTGGATGCACAGCGGCCTTTCAAAGATGGCACAGGTACAAGGGATGCCAGTCATTCAGCAGATATCTGCTGATTGATGAGTTGTTTAGGAACGGTGCACGGTAGGCACTACAGGAAAGAAGGGACTGAATGACCACCAGACAGTCCAGAAAAAACAAGCAAGTAGTGCCGGAGTCCCCTGAGGTCCCACTCACTAACTGGTATTCCATTTTGGAAGCTGATGAGGGTGCTGGTACTTCGGAGGAGTTCGGTCAGAGCCAAGTTTCTGACACCACAAGCAGTTTGATTGTACAGTGGGGAGGAAGAAGAAAGGAAGAGCAACATTGAAAGTGGATTCTTTAGTCAGGGGAGCAGATAGGCACTTCTGCAGCCAAAGACGTGACTCCAGGATGGTATGTTGCCTCCCTATGCCAGGGTCAGGGATGTCACTACAGCTGCAGGGTATCCTGAAAGGGAAGTGCGATAAGTTAGAGTTTGTGGTACGTGTTGGTACCAATGATATGGGAAAAGTGAGGAATGACGTCTTGCACCAAGAATTCAGGGAACTGGGCAGTAGGCTAAAGAGCAAAACCTCAAAAGTTGTAATCTCTGGATTACTGCCGGTGCCACATGCTAGCGAGTATAGAAGTAGGAAAATAGGACAGATGAATGTGTGGCTAAAGAGCTGGTGCAGGGTTCAGGGTTTCAGGTTCTTGGATCATTGGGACCTCTTCTGGGGCAGGGGTGACCTGTAGAGGAGGGATGCATTGCACTTAAACTGGAGGGGAACAAATATCCGCGCAGGGAAGTTCGCTAGTGCTATTCGGGGCTGGGAACCAGAGCAGCAGGTCAGCAAATGGAGGGGTTTAGGGTAAGGTAGACATTATGACCAGTAAGTTTGAAAGGAGGGACAGGTTAATGAACACAATGGGGTTGATGGGCTGAAGTGTGTTTATTTCAATGCGAGGAGTGTTATGGGTAAGGCAGATGAGCTTAGAATCTGGATCAGTACATGGGGGTATGATGTCCTGTGCCCATTAGAGAGACTTGCTGCTCAGTGCTCCAGAGTTTTGATGTTTTAGATGAGATAGAGAGGGAGGTAAAAGAGGCAAAGGAATTGTATTACTAATCAAGGAGAATGTCACAGCTGCACTCAGAGGACATATTGGAGAACTCATTCACTGAGGCAATATGGGTACAGCTCAAAAATAAGAAAGGTACAATCATTCTGTTGGGATTATAATATAGGCCCCCTCCCAACAGCCACTGGCACATCGAGGAACAGATATATAGGCAGATTATGGAAAGATGCAAAAACAGCAGGGTTATCATAGTGAGTGACTTTAACTTCCCCAGTATTGACTGGGACTTTCTTAGAGAGGCTTAGATGGGGCAGAATTTATTAGGGTTTCTTGAAACAGTGTGTGGATAGTCCAACTAGAGGAGGGGCCATTCTGGACCTTGTATTGGCTAACAAGCCTAGTCAGGTGACGGACTTTTCAGTGGGAAAACATTTTGAAAATAATGATCATAATTCCTTAAATTTTAAGATAGCTATAAATAAGGATAAGTCAGGACCTTGCAGGAAGGTACTAAACTGGGGGAGGGCAAATTATGTCAGTATTAAACAGGAGCTAGGAAGTGTTAATTGGGAGCTGCTGTTATCAGGCAAGTCCACATTTGACATGTGGGAGTTCTTTAAAAGCCTACTGATCAGAGTTCAGGACCAGCATGTTCCAGCAAGGAGGAAGGACAAGGATGGCAAGGTATGGGACCCTTGGATAACGAGGGAGATTGAGAATTTAGTCAAAAAGAAAAAGGAAGCATATGTAAGATTTAGAAAGCTAAAAGTCGGATAAGGCCCATGAGGAATATAAACAAAGCAGGAAAGAACTCAAGTAGGAAATTAGGAGAGCAAGGAGAGGCCACAAAACGTCCTTGGCTGGAGGTCCATGACTAGTGATGTTCCACAGCGATCTGTACTGGGACTGCAGCTGTATGTGATTTATATAAATGACTTGGATGAAAAGAGAGATGGGTGGGTTAGTAAATTTGCAGACGACACAAAGATCAGTGGAGTGGTGGATAATGTAGAAGGTTATCAAGGGATACAGTGGGACACAGATCAATTGCAAATAAAGGCATATAAATGGCAGATGGAGTTTAACCCGAGTAAGAGTGAGGTGTTGCACTTTAGGAGATCAAATATTAAGGGAAAGTATCCAGTTGATGGTAGGACCCTTAGCAGCATTGATGAAGGGAGAGATCTTGGGGTTCTTGTCCATAGCTCCCTGAAAGTGGCCACACAAGTAGATAGGGTGGTAAAGAAGGCATATGGCATGCTTGGTTTTATTGGTTGGGGCATTGAGTACAAGAGTCAGGAAGTGATGTTGTAGCTTTAAAAGATTTTGGCTAGGCCACACTTAAAGTATTGGGTTCAGTTCTGGTCGCCACATTGCAGGAATGTTGTGGAGGCTTTGGAGGTTTACCAGGATGCTGCCTGGATTAAAGGTATGAGCTTTAAGGATAGACTGGACAAACTAGGGTTGTTTTCTCTGGTGTGGCAGAGGTTGAGGGGAGACCTGATAGAAGTTTATAAAGTTATGAGAGGCATAGAGAGGGTTGACAGTCAGAACTTTTTCCCAGAGTTGAAATGACTAATACTAGAGGGCATGCATTTAAGGTAAGAGGGGGAAAGTTCAAAAGAGATGTGAGGGGCAAGTTTTTTTTTTGTTTTACACAGAGATGGTAGGTACCTGGAATGTGCTGCCAGGGGTAGTGGTGGAGGCGGATACGACAGGGATGTTTAAGGGGCTTTTAGATAAGCACACAAATAAGCATGATTAAGGATATGGACCATGGGCAGGCAGAAGGGATTAGTTTAATTTGGTGTCATGTTCGGCACAACATCATGGGCTAAAGGGCCTGTTTCTGTGCCGTACAGTTTTGTGTCTTATCTTCTATCTTGTACTTAGCCAAAACAGTAAGATCTGTCCGACGTGTTTATTTAAATATTGTTGCACTACTTCTGGTGCTTAATAAAACAAAACTTTAAAAGGGTAGCCGCCTCCAGAATTGTGATGCATTTGGAAATGGGTACAAGAACTCTAGTCTGATAGAGTCATAGAGACATACAGTATGGAAAGAGACCCTTCGGACCAACTCATCCATGCCAACCAAGTTTCCAAAACTAAAGTAGTCCCACTTGCCTGCCTTTGGCCCATATCCCTCTAAACCTTTCCTATTCAGGTACCCATCCAAATGTCTTTTAAATGTTTTAACTGACCTGCATCTACTACTTTCTCTGGCAATTCTTTCCACATATGAACCACCCTCTTTGTGATAAAGTTGTCCCTCAGTTCCTTTTAAATCTTTCCACTCTCACCTTAAAATTATGCCCTCTAGTTAGCCATCTTTTCAAATGCCAATCTCAGCATGATCAAAAAAATGTGAATATAAGTTAAAAACAATTTAAAATAGTTGATGTCAAATATATATGATTAACAATCTAACAACTGATTTAGTTTCAATATTCTACTGTAGGAACGCAGACTGTAAAAGCAAAATGTTAGCTAGTCTATAACATGTCAATCCTTGATTATAATAAGGAACTTCAAAATCTTCTTTTGTTTTAATTGCTAATGTGTAGTCACCTTTGGCTTCAGAAAAATCTACTCTTAAGTGCTTGATTTGACTTCTGCTGTTGTATGCAATAGCCAGGTCCTCGGCACAGCATTTGCTGAACACGTATAACCGTGTTATCAGTTAGTCAGACATCATGGCTAGTATCAATCTTAAACGTTATATTATGATTTTCTGACTATTAACATGCGATAAATGGTTGGAAAAACATTTGCCATACGCAGCCAAACCTCTAATGTGTATTTTGGTAGATGAGACAACTCAGAAAATTATCACTTTGTCCCATGATCAAATGCATTATGTGCCCTCCTTATGAGGTAAACTTAGGTAAAATTTAAGAAAGTGGATCCTAGTGGATTGGACTTGATTGTTTACCATTCCAATAGTTTGCATGAATCTTATAAATCTTAAACAATATAGAAAGCATTGATGCAAAGATTCACACATAATGCCACTTCAGATACATTTTCCTGTATGGATTTTTAGAAGGAAGGCTTACAATAAATGGAATTTTCTAACAAGGCATATACAGAAATTGAAGTGGACATGGGCATTCCATTATAAAGGACAGGAGTTTTCTCATGTTTCAGATATGTATTTGTCTTGCAGTCAACTCCATCATAAACTGAGCTTTTTTTCCAGGATTTTGTGAAGACAAAATGACTGCCTCATTTGTTTACCTTATAGAAACAGCAAATCTAAGGAAATTTATTGTTAAGTTTAATGCTGTAAGATACTTGGTGAGATGTGGTGTGGCAACTCTATCAACACAAGTTTATTTATTTCCTCCTTTCTTATCTTAACAAAAAATGAGAGTTTTTAACAGCTGAAGATGCTCTTCCCTGAGTCACTGCACCTCCTTTTCCCAGTCCCAGCATCTGTCAATCCTGCCTTTGTATACAATCCAATGAGCATAATAGTGTACATAGGCAAATGTATTTATGTATTACACAAAAACCCTACAAAAGACAAACTATTGATAAATCATGCAATTTCTAGATTGAAATGACTCTGCAGAAGACGGTATCCTGTCACCAAGTCACCCTTTATTTAGACGTAGAGAGTCTTTGACATTGATCTCCCTCCCTCAGAGCTAGCTCTCAGAGTGAACAGGATGTCTGACACTCCCATTCTTATCTGTCAGCCAGGGCTCCCTGATTGGAGCAGATTAACACCTCCAACCAGGAAACGCATTCTATGATGTCCACCTGGCTGATCTCATTACAACCACTGCAGTAAGGAAGAGGTCTATGTCTGGAAATGGTTAGGAATCTGTTAGAAATGATTCTGTAGAGGCCACTATGTTTTGTGTAACCAGGGGACAGTAAAATAAATGTACATGGTGCTTGAATGTTTACAAAAACCAAAAATTTGAACAATTGCTCTTGGTAACAAATGCAATGTAGCAAAGTACATTATGAGTGAAGGAGTTTAAAAAAACAGCACATGAACCACTTGGCAGTAGCAGTGCAGGAAGATCCCAAAACAGAAACAGGGCAAGTTGACATTAAGAGAAACGATGATTAGAGTGTGGCATTAGAGACCTAAGATTGTGCCAGCAGACAAGGTCCAATGTTGCAAAAATGGTAAAAAGACAGAGTTAAAGGCTCTGTATCCAAATATACTTATCATTCATAATAAAGCGGATGCAGTGATAGCTCTAATATGAATAAATATGCATGGTGTATTTTTTTGCTTACTCATGCAGGTGTCACTGACTAGACCATGAGAAGATGGTGATGAGTTGCCATCTTGAACTGCTGCAGTCCATGTGCTGTAGATAGATCCACAAGGCCAATAGGAGGTAGCCATTTCAGAGACAATGCTGTAGAATGGCAATGGCCGGGACCTGAATCTTCTAAGACACCTGACATTTAGGAAGGACAAGAAGCTAAAAATAGATAGAAGAGTAGCTCTGATAAAGTATAATAGAGAGAGATGACATTAGTTCTAAAGATGTAGAATCACTTGTGGGAAATGTTTATAGACCCTGCAACTAACCACTCTGTAGGACAGGGTATACAGGAAGGAATAATGGTGGCTTATGAGAAAGATACAGTGATAATCATGAGCGATTTTAATCTACACACAGATTGTGTGAATTATAGGCAAAGGACTTCTGGAATATTAATTTGTTTAGTATTTTTGGGATAAATTTGTAGAGCAGCACATACTAAAGGCAACTAGAGAGCAGGATCTTCTGGATCTGGTAATACACAATGAGAATAGGGTTAATTAACATTGTCAATAAAGGCAGGCTTCGGTAGCAATGATCATAACATGGTTGAATATTGTATTTAGTTTGAGGGGGAGAAGAATGCATCTGAGAATAGAGTTTGGAACATAAATGAGGGCAATTATGAGGGTATGAAGGTAATTGTCCAAGTGCATTGGGAAATTAAGTTAGGGAATGAATCAGTAGAGATGCAGTGGCATACATTTAAAGAGGTATCTCACAACATTCAACAGAGATACATTTCAGTGAGAATGAAAGACCGAAATAGGTGAAGGACTTACCATCCATGTCTAACTAAAGAAGTTAAACATTGAAAGATTAGATTATATATAAAAAAAGGAAAGTGATTAAAACAATAGTAAAGAGGGACAAAAATAGACTGAGAGAAAGCTGGCTAGAAATATGAAAACAGTGTTATGCAGGTTCTTTTAATATATTGTTATTTGAGAAATGGGATATTCCATGGCAAAGTTAGAGTGAGTAATGGCCCTTCAAGTATGAAGTAGCAGAGAGAAGATGCTAGTATTTACCCTTGTGGAGTGCAGGAGATTATTGACCTTCTTGCAGCATTACTGGATGTCCCTTTCTACAGCATAGACAACACTGACCTCTGCTGCTACCTCTGACTAGACCCAATGATCCTGGTGGATGATTTCTTTCTACAGTCATCTAGTAAAAGTTCTGGTCTTCTCTTCACTACCCAGCTCACTAGAAACTCGAGGTCCTCGTCAAGGAATTAGAGAGTGAGCTTGCCTTTCTTCTGTGCCATGTCTTCACAATTTAGGGATGAGCATCACTACATGAGGGCCAGTTTGTTGCAAAGTTGGGTAGAATATTTTTGGATTAGGAGTCAGGAAGTTAGAATTTGGTGCACTAAAATGCTAGGGGGGAGAGCAGTACGTGGTCCCTTTAAAAGATGATGTGCTTTTTCTATGCTTAGCGATTCAAAAAGGATGTCTGTGGGCAGCAGCTTGTGGGTTTGCAGGTGTACAAGGAGCACCTGAATTGAAACGTTTGTATCAAAAGGCCACACAGTTAGTAGGCCAAGCAGCAGTTTTGTTTTGATACCAAGACAACAAGTTTTGAATTTAGCCAATCAATTTGAATTAGGCACTTAGATACCAAAAACCAATTAAATTTAAATTTGATGGTTTTGACAACATAGCACCAATCCTATTATAAGAAATTGATATGTCATCAAGGGTATAAAAGAAGGGGCAGTTGGGCAAAGACAGGAGCGTGAACTGCCATCTGCTAGAGATAACAGTGCTCAGCTCTTAGAGAAAGCACCATCTATTCACAATGGTACCATGGCACTCCTAGCTAAGATTCTTGATGGAAGAATTCACAGAGAAAGTATTCCCAACAGAAGAATTCACAGAAAAATTGTTCCTGACAGAACATTTGATGGAAAATGCATTCATGACAGAACAATCAATGGAGAAGGCACAGAGCATTCTGGAAGACATGTAATCTGGCTCTAATTTCAAGAGACTAAATTCTATTTTTTTATTTTATATAAGTGGGACTCAAATTTATTGGAACAGCATACTATTAGAATTTTGTTATATTCAGGAATATTTAGTAGTTAGAAGGGAATTATTCAGTTTGTTAATAGTTTAATTAATTTGTTCACTGTTACAGTTAGATAAATAAATTGATACATGTTGATTGTAAAGTGAGTGTCAGGGATTTGTTTTATTTAACTGCTAGAAGTTGCGGAAAGGCGGGTTACACCACTTCTCACACTCCTTTTATAGACTGTAGGGCGAGGTGCTCCTCTTCGGGTGTTTCAGTTTTACTTTTCAGAGCGGGGGTCAATCTCCGCTTTATACAAGTTCCAGGCTTTCAGTATCTGAAGTGGTGTCCAGCTGAGTTTTAAATATGGTGCCAGAGATATGGAATCCAGAAGGTGCTAGCAGTAGAGGGCAGTTTCATTTTGCTCACCACAGAATTCAGTGAGTAATTCACCCGACATCTTGCTCACAATTAATTGGGGAAAAGCAGAATATTGTACAAGAAAACCTGCTCCAGGCTACGGTGCCATGAAACTCACTTGCCACAACATTTCAACTGCAAAAGGGAAAATTCATCCCTTGGTCAGCAGCTGATTTTTCTAAATGCCATTTGATAAAATTGTCAATGACACCTTTTATCGCATTGTTGATGATTGAGAGTAACTGGTTGGATTGGATTTGTGCAGCTTTTTGTGGTTTCAAGATAATGTGTTAATTTTCAATTTGGGGGATTGTTGTGGTGAAGTGATAGTATCCCTGCTATGGGGCTAATCGTTCCCTGACTCAAATCCCAGCTGTTCCAGAGGTCTGTAACAATGTCCCTGAAGAGGTTGATTAGAAAATAAATACCAATTTTCAATTTGTCAAATAGGTGCCAATGTTGTAGCTGGACTGGAATATCTTGGTTAGGAGGGAGTCTTGTTCTGGCACTGAAGCCTTCAGTAATGTAGCCAGGATCCATTGCATTTTTTGATATAACAGAGTGAATTGAACTTGCTGAAGACTGGCCTGTATTTGGTGGAGCTCTCAGGAGGATGCTGGGATGGACCATCCACTCAGCACTTATGGCTGAAGATGGTTGCAAAAGCTTCAGCCTTGCACTGGGCTTGACGTTCTGGGCACCCTTACCTTTGAGTTTGGGATGTTTGTCCTCCCCTTAGTTGATTAACTGTCTAATATATTATTTATTACTGATGTGTTAGGACTGCAAAGCTCTAAGGTTATTCGCTGCTTTAGCATCTAGAAGAAGCAGTGTAAATCCACATATCTTTTTGGTTCTTGTTGGAAGCATTTAGAAATATTCAGAAGTCTGTACAAGTATGAAGAACAGTGTATTCTATAGCTGTGATATTGTTCTCTTGTTTTATATTCACCATTGTTGCTACTTCCAGGAGGAGAGTGTGAGCTTTCAGAAACAACTTGATACTTTGGAAGCTAAAATCCTACAGCAACAAGAGGAACTGAAAGAACTTCAGGCCATGAATACTGATGCCCAACTATCTCGAGATGCTACCAAGGTACCAATCTGAACACAAACATGTTTATTTCATCATCTCACTGAAAGTCTTGGCATTGTGTGCTTGTGGGCAGACTTTGATGGATTAGAAAGGCTGAGACCTGAGCATGGCATGAATTATCTGTTGCTATATCTGAATTCCGTCAGGTGCTTGTTTGGAAGATGCCCACTATTTTGACGGCTTTCCATCTCCAAGCAAGACCGGAGTGTTAATGCTAGGTCAGGAGGAGTGTGAAGAAAATACTTTATCTGACTGGGATATTTTTGGCTCGACCTGATCACAGAACATTGAGACAGTGAGGCACTTTTAAAACAGGTGAAGAGGTAGAGTTTAAAGTACCAGCAGCATTGAGGTTGAAAGCAGTAAGAAAAGTTGAGATAAATCAAGAAGTGGTGGTTACATAATATCTATTTTGGTTATTAAAAGGTTGTGTGAGAAAGGAAAGACCAAGAGATGAGGAAGTTCAATTTTTGAGCTGTTGGGAACTGTTCAAGTTGGGGAATCATTCAGTCAGGTGTTCTAATTTCTGAAAACATGCTGTGAATAAATGCAGGAATTGGACACACACACATGCACAGAGACATGCACGCACACAAAAGCCTAGGCACACACACACAGAGACACAAAGGTGCACACAGGCAAATGTACCTTGGTCCTGAATTTCTGATGGCCTGATAATTGTTTCATGAAATGTAGATAGGATTTGCGCATGAGAGCTGTATGGTATTTCCATCATAGCAGACTCTAAAGGAATTGCCCAAGAAAATTAAAGGTCTAATTCCCCTGCACATGGAAACTTTTGAAAATATCCATTTAAGTCAGAGAAATTAGAGGATTCCACTGAAGTTAAGTAAGTGCTTATTCAGGAAAAGTTAGACTATTAAATATCTTGTCTAACTCCTAAGTAACTATTAAACTGACCCCTAAGTACCTCACACACCCTCAACTACATTTCCCCCAACCCCTTACACCCAACAGACCCTAGGCAATATACCCTTTTCCCCCAGGCCATCAGGACACAACATCCCCCCCTACCCTTGGGACCTGACACCGCCCCTGCCAACACCCTATCCAGAGTTTCTTCCTGATTTCTGAAGAAGGGTCCCGACCCGAAACATCAGCTTTCCTGCTCCTCTGATGCTGCCTGGCCTGCTGTGTTCCTCCAGCTCCAGACTGTGTTATCTCAGACTCCAGGATCGGCAGATCTTACTACATCTTATATTTTAATGGACTTAGTGGTTAATGGTACTTATGTGATTTCACGGAGCAGACAGAACTCCAGCAGCACGAGGAGGTTATGCATAAGGAACGACGGGAACGGGAAAAGATTCTCACTGAGTACAAGAAGATGGCTGAGGAGAAGAGAACACAAGCAGAACGTGCAGAAAGACGGGTAAGAATCATATAGAAGGAGTCTTTAATTCCAAAGGGATCCAAGTGTCCTTGTTCATAACTCACCAAAAGTTAGCGTGCAGGTTTTGCTAGCAATTAGGATGGCAACTAATAGGTTGGTCTTCATTGCAATAGTATTTGAGTACAGGAGTAAAGATGGCTTGGTGTAATTGTGTAGAGTCTTGGTCATACTGCACGTGGAGTATGGTGTATAGTTTTGGTTTCCTTATGTATGAAAGGATCTAGATGCTGTGGAAGGAAATCAACACAGGGTCACCAGGGTAATCCAATGAAGGATTTTTTTATGAGGAGACATTGAGGAAACTGGGCCTGTCATCTTTAGAGTTGCGAAGGACGACAGATGATCTCATTGGAACTTACAAAATCTTTACAGTATAGAAATAGGTAGGATATTTCCCTTGGTTGGTGATTAATATTTCCCCTAAGCTGCATAGCTTGGTGGTTCTGCATACAGTGATCGATATTGGCACACTGAATGTGGCATTGACTTGCAGTTTTTGAAGTCGCTGTTGTGCCCAGGTCTTGGAGACCCATGCAGCTGGGAAGAAAATTAGAGGGAACACTCCTGGGTGGTCAAAAACCAGGGGATATAATCTCAGAATAAAGGTAGCCCATGACGACTTCCATCTAGAAGGACAAGGGCAGCAGACATATGGGAACATAACCACCTCCAAGTTCTCCTCCAAGCCACTCAACATCCTGATTTGGAAATATGTTGCCGTTCCTTCAGTGGCACTGGGTCAAAATCCTGGAATTCCCTCCCTAATGGCATTGTGGGTCAACCTACAGCTAGTGGACTGCAGCGGTTCAAGAAGGCAGCTCACCACCACCTTCTCAAGGGTAACTAGGGACAGTCAATAAATGCTGGCCCAGCCAGCAACACCCACATCCCACAAATGAATAGAAAAAAAAGCCCATTTAAGACTGAGATGAGTAGGAATTTACTCGCTGAGAAGGTGGTGACTTTTGGAAGTCTGTACTCCAGAAGCTATGGAAGCTCAATCATTAATAAGGTCAAGACAGAAATCAATTTCTAAATAGTAATAATGACAAGGGATATGTAACAGGCACAGGAAAGTGTCTTTGTGGTGACTGAGCAGTCCTGATCCAATTGAACAGTGCAGCAGTCTCAGTAGAGTGAATAGTATATTACAATGATCCTACTGTGTAAAATATATTTATATACACAATATGATCATGCTTGAATCCAAAAGTTCTGTGATGAACTTCTGCATTCCCAGCTTAGCCAGGATATGGCTTCTGTACTTTAGATGTTTGCCACGATACCCAATAAATCCTCCGCAATCAAGGCAACTTCATTCACGTCAAGCCAGGACCTGTGGTGTTGAACACAACTAGTTTCATTATCCTGGAAACAGATCATAACGGATGGGGAAATCACATTGTGCTCAAGTTCATTATTGACTCAGTGTGGAGAAAAGATCATCCCAAAATCCAAAAAAGTGTCACCCTATGGAGTACTGACAATAATTGTAGTTCTAGGTGAATCTAGCCAATCTCATCTTGTGAAACATCACCAAGAGTGTTATTGGAGAATTTATCAAATGTCTGTGAGTGATTAACAAACTGGTTTTATGATGATTTTTTTCAGGCAATGAGAGCAGGTGCTCACTCTGAGGAGTTGCACTTTGAGCGACCTGCAACACAAGAAACTGGGGCCGAGGAAAGAGCCATCAACATATTTGAAGATATCTTATGGATCAAAACTGTGACTGGTGTTAGTGATGTACAGGTAAGGGGCATTCAGGGAGAAGTGTGGTTCAAAGATTCCTAGAGCTGCCACTCCAGTCTAGACACTGAGGCCCAACCTCTGGGTGAGGGGACCATACTGTGCACTATATATAGTGTTCACTGATGCCTGGTTACTTTTAAACATACTCAGTAATAAGCACATCTGGAATGCTTTGAGATTTTGATTTTGATTTTTCAGCTCTTGAATACTGAGAAAATTAAAAGACCATTGACTTAAGAAAATTATTTTCCATTGTTCGTTGCAGATGTTTAAATATATATCTTGGGTAACTCCTACCTGTTTTCAATGCTGTTTAAGTAATTTTTGTGTCAGATTAAGCCTAAGATAATGATAACATGTTATTCTGCCACTATCTGAGGTAGCGGTTAAAATCAATTATTGAAATAAAATGAATGTGCTTCTCTGTTCAACACTGCAGAAGAACTGTCACTAAGTGTGCAAGTGAAAACGTTCTTGAAAACATTGTTCTCAAGCTCCTTTACCAGAATAGTCTGAACCGTGGATTCATAGAATAAATAAACCCATATGCGTAAAAATAGAAAAAAAATGTTGCAGTAGAATGTGATGCTGAGTAGTGTAATAATTTGAAATGTGCAAGACATTTAGATTTTCTGGTAAAAGCTTAAGTCTTGCTTTTGGTTGCAGGATGTAGTGAAACGCTTTGTGATGCAGGAAGAAACCTTGAAGCATTTGGAGGAGTTGGAACTGGAGAATGAAAAGCAAATGGTGCGACTAAGGGGGGAGAAAGAGGTACTGCATGCAGAATATGACCAACTGAAGTATTCTGGTGAAACAAAACTTTCCAGGTATGAAGAATATTATATGTCTGTGTATCTAGATTACAGCTCTGTTTCCACACCCATTTGTCTTGTGACTGAGGTAACCCCAAATAACTTTGTTTCTTCACTTACATCCAACACAGCTAGATAAGATCCACTGATGCATGATTTATGTTCAATGCTTTCTGCTATGTGATCAAGTGGTTAACATCAGGTGTTAAGCTAAATCAGCTCAATTTAAGATGTTTCAATCCAGAGCTTGAGAGACAGTAGGTCAGTTTCAGATTTAGAGGAGATGTTTTGAACAAAATGAGCACCTGCAGGCAAAGTAACAGTGTTCATTATTAATTACAAAAAAAAAAAAAAAAAAAAAAACTTTGCTTACTTCAAGCGTTAACCACTGTCTCTGGAGAGAGAAACAGAGTTAATGTTTTGAGTCCAGTATGATTCTTTTGCAAAAATTGACTCTCACTGGACTCTGAACATTAACTGTTTCTCTCTCCACAGATGCTACCAGAGTTGCTGAATTTCTCCAGCAGTTTCTGTTTTTATTTCAGGTTTCCAGCATTCACAGTATTTTGCTTTTATTTAAATGTCAAACAGTGTCAATTTAGCTTGGTCCAGTACAGCTCACATTTCAGATACAGAAGTGTACATATGAAGAAAGAACCCAGCCATTTAAAATAACTAAATCTAAGTCCAGAGATGTGCAGGTTAGGTGGATTGGCCATGCTAAATTGCCCATAGTGTCCAGGGAGTTGCAGGCTAGGTGAAATAACCATGAGAAATGCAGGGTTACAGTGATAGGGTGGGTCTGGTTGGGATGCTCTTCAGCAGGGTGGTGTGGACTCGATGGGCCAAATTGCCTGCTTCCAAACAGTAGGAATTCTATGAAATAGTGGTTTAGATCAGTGAAACCATTCAAAACAAATAGCATTGAGTTTTACAAATATGTGCAGAAAACATGATATTGACATTGTATATGTGTAGTTATAATTCTGTGTGCAATTTGAGAATTCCATTATAGAAAAGCCATCAAGGAAAAGGGACAAAGGTTCATTAGGCTGACTTCCCCCAGTACAAAAATTGTCTTATGGGGAAAGTTCAGAAGTTTGGCAAAGACCTCACTCAACAACCTAAAGAAGGTTTAAGATAATACAGCCAGTAATCTGGAGTAATCCCTTAGTGCACCTACACTCCAAGGACTGCAGCAATTTAAGAAAGCATCTCACTACATTATCAAGGGCAATGGGGAATCTGTAATAAATGCTGGCCTAATCAGTGATGCACATATCTCATGACCAAATAAAAAAGCCCTGGCGGCATCTATATTGGTGTTACTACCAAATATGGCTATCTCAGGGGCCACCCAAAAATGAAGTGGTACATGATCAAGGATTAAGTAATGCATCTAATGTAACAATCCATCTGCAGAGATAGGTGAGGTCATACTTTTGGTGTCTTTTAATTTCTGTTTGTGAAGTGCAGAATTAGCTTTTCCCTCTTTTCTTTTATAATTCTCTTCTCTCCCAATCCTCATTATACTTCACAATGAAATTATTGTATTTGTTTCTGATCTCCCATTCTATTTAATTTCTTGTCATTTTTGGTACTTGTTTATTTCTCATTTTATCTTTTAATTAGCTCTTCAAAGCTGGATGAAGAATATAACAGGGAATGAGTTTGAATTAGACAACTCTCTGAGTTGGCATAAGCATGATTGGTTGTGTGTGGCCTTCTTCTGTGCTGTATTATTTTCTGCTTTTTGTATTTTTTCCTCAACGTTCTCTCTTTACTTCACCTCCCTGCCTTTTCTTTTCATACTTTGTCCTTTTTTTCCACTTACCTTAAATCTTTCCTGTTTTCTATACTCAGGCAAAGTCAGGTGTTCTCAGTCCTTTTGCTGTGATATTAAGCCATGCACCTGCACGTGTGCTACTTGTACGTTTAAATTCATACTGCCACTCATACTGAATGCTCTGTTCATTCACTATTGCTTTAATCAAACTTTTCTGCTTTCCCTGTGGTTTTTAACATAGTGAGCAAAAATTGTTAATGGAACTACAAACTCACCTGAACAATGAGCAGAAACGACGAGCTAAGCTAATGGAGTACCTTGAATATGTCAGCCATATCACCATGTCCGTTAAAGCAGGTGTGGAACATATCTACGAGAAATTGAAACATGTGCAAATTGTAAGTAATGGTCACACGCGATAAAACTGATAATTCCAGAGATTTTGTTCCAGTGAGTAAGTTGATCAGTTCCAGAGTACTGCAGGGAATGTTACCATTGCCTATTTCCTGAACTTGGATAGGTTAGTTGAGAGTCAGAATGAGATCCTGTTTGCTATTACTGACATTGTTGGTGGTAAAAGCTGAACTGTTTCAATGCCTTATGTTTTTGTTGGCAACATGAAGGAATAAAGTCTTTTCACGTGATGTATTTTATAAAATGTGTGACGTATTCAATATTGAAAGATGCTACCTTAATGCTGAGCTCTGGAGATTTTCATATAACTTGTTTGTATTTTAATTATTCAGTCAAAGGGCAGTATTCCTGCTGTGGTACTGAGCCCCACATCAGATGAGTATGTATTGGACTTGTTATCATTTACAGAGGAAAAACTCCTTAAACTTTGTCGAAATCTAGAAGGAATCGACATGAAGAAGACATTGCAATTGATGGAGGATGATGAGGTGAGATAATGCATTGGAACAAGGGCCTGGTGGATCTTGTTGAGTATGCAATCTTCGATTGGGGTTGTTAATGTGGGCCAATCAGGGAGCCCTGGCTGACAGACATAAACAGGAGATTCAGAGAGTCCCCTCACTCTAGGGACTAGCTGAGCTAGCTGGTCAGAGTCATGACTTGATGACAAGATGCCAGCCTCTGTGCATTTATTTAATGCAGCTTCTTTATCCTCTAGCTATTTGTTTTTGAATGGCAACACCAGTTTGCAGGGTGCGGTGTAGGGGAACATAGAACAGTACAGCACAGGAACAGATCCTTCAGCCCACCATGTCTGTGCTGACCATGGTGCCATTCTAAACTGATCCCATCTACCTGAACATGGTCTGCATCCCTCCATTACCTGCCTGTTCATGAATCTGTCTAAATATCTCTTAAACATTGCTATTGTATCCACTTCTACCACTCTACTGGCTGCACATTCCAGGCACCTACTACCCTCCGCATAACAAACTTGCCTCGCATACCTCTTTTAAACTTGCCTGTCTCACTTTAAACCTATGCCCCCTGACATTTCCACCCTGGGAAAAAGAATCCAACTGTCCACCCTATCCATGCCTCAATTTTATATACAGCAAACTTTTTGTTTTAACTGGCACTGTTCATGAAATCGGCAAAAATTATATACCTCAAATACTGTGAAGTTTACTGTATTATTCTGTACAATTATAATAATTTTTTAAAATTTATTTACATCAATGTAAATACATTTGTTGTTCAATCAAATGGCCACACAAAATATCAACAGTTGATTCAATTTTGAGTCAATTTCTCCTCAAATATCACAATTTATAGCAATGTCCAAGTAGTCAGTTGAGGGTTTTCTGCCAGTAGGTTTTAATTAAGGTAAAGGTGCATACTATTTGAGTGATTTCTGCTGTAAATAAAGTATAATAGTGATGTGTATACCCCTGCATTACATTTCTATTACTTGGCATGTGTTCTTACATTGATTATGTGGACCTCTTGATTATCTGGAAAATTTGATCAATAGGCACATTCCTGGTCCCATTGGTGCCAGAATATAAAAAGTTTATTGTATTTCTGTCAGGTTGCCCCTCAGCCTCCAACGGTGTAGCGGAAACAATCCAACTTTTTCCAACCTCTCCTTATAGCTAATGCACTCCAAACCAGGCAACAGCCTGGTAAACTATTTTGTACCCTCTCCAAAGTCTCCATATCCATCCTATCTTGTAGCGACCAGAACTGAATGTGACTTGCCAACTTTTATACTCAATGCAATGAAGGTAAGCATGCCCCATGCTTTCTTTACCTCCTTATCCACTTGTATTTCCACTTTCAGGGAGCAGTGGACTTGCACTCCAAGATCCCTCTGTATATCAATGCTCCTAAAGATTCTGCCATTTACTGTATACTTTCCTCTTGCATTGGACCTCCCAAAACGCATTAACCTCACACACTTTTCTGGATTAAGCTTCATCTGCCATTTCTCCACCCAACTATCCAACTGGTCTACATCCTGTTGTATCCTTTAAAGCCTTACTCACTATCACAACTCCACTAATTTTTGTGTCATCTGCAAAGTTACTAATCAGACCACCTATATCCAAATCTACATAAATTTCCAAACAATAGAGGTCTCAGCACTGATCCTTGTGGAATACCACTGGTCAAAGACCTCCAGTCAGAAAAACACCCCTCCACAACTACCCTCTGTCTCTATGACCAATTTTATATCCAATTTACCAACCCATCATGGATCCTATGTGACTTAATCTTCTGGATCTACCTACCACAAGGAACTTTGTCAAATGGTTTAGTGAAGTCCATTTAACCAGCATCCACTGCTCTACCCTCAATCATCTTTGTTACTTCCTCAAAAAATTCAAATCACATTTGCAGGACAAGATGTCCCCCACACAAAGCTTTGCTCACTATTTGTAATAAGTTCATTCTTTTCCAAATGTGAGTAAATCCTGTCCCTAAGAATTTTCTCCAATAATTTCCCGTCCATTGATGCAAGGCTCACTGGCCTATAATTTCCTGGATTATCCCTGTTGTCCTTCTTAAATAAAAATAGAACAAGTCTTCTGGGATCTTACCTGTGGCTAAAGAGGTTACAAAGGTTTCTGTCAAGGCCCCAGAAGTCTCCTCCCTTGCCTCCCTTAGTATTCTGAGATTGATCCTATCAGGTCCTGGGTACTTATCTACCTTAATGTTTTTCAAGACACCCAATACCTTCTCCTTAATATCAACATGCCTAAGAATATAAGAATACCCCTTCCTAATATCATCATCATCCATGTCCTTCTCCTTGGTGCATACCGATGCGAAGTGCTCATTCAGGACCTCATTCACTTCCTCTCATTCTACTCATAAATTCCCTCCTTTGTCCTTGACTTCAACCTACCCTTTCCATAGTTACCCTATTGCTCTGAATATACACATGGAATACCTTGGGATTCTCCTTAATCTGACTTGCTAGGGACATTTCATGGCCCCTTTTAACCCTCCTATTTCCTTGTTTATGTTCTTTCCTTTTCCTTTCTCTTCCTCAAGGACCTTGTCTTATTTCAGTTTCTTCAACCTTACATATGCTTCTTTTTTCTTTTTGACGAAACTTTCAATATATCTTGTCATCCAGTGTTCCTGAATCTTATCATTCTTATCTTTTGTCCTCTTGGAAACGTGCTGGTCCTGAACTCTGATCAACTGGCATATAAAAGACTCCCACATGTCAGAGGTAAATTTACCCTCAAATAGTTGACCCCAGTTTACTTTCTGCAGTTCCTGCCTAATACTGTTGTAATTAGCCTTCCCCAATTTAGTACTTTCACCCGAGGACTGGTCTTATCCTTACCCTTATCCTTATCCTTAACTCCCTCATTGAAACTTCATCTGGCCAGCCTCATTCCCCAATACAAGATCCAGTACAATCCCTTCCCTGGTTGGAATTATCTACATGTTGTTTGAAGAAGGACTCCTAGATACACCTAACAAATTCTGTCCCCAAATAAGCCCCTGGACCTCAGGAAGCTCCAGTCAATGTTGGGGAAGTTAAATTACCCACTACAGCAGTTCTGTTTTTATGTCTTTCAATGATCTGTTTACATATCTTCTGCTTGCTATTGGGAAGCCTATAGAATAACCTCATTGTAGTGATTGCACCTTTCTTATACCTGAGTTCTACCCATATGGCCTCACTGAATGAGCCCTCCAAGGTGTCCTCTCAGTGCAGCTGTGACATTCTCCTTAATCAGTATTGCAACTCTGCCACCCCTTTTACATCCCTTTGTATTATGTCTGAAACATTGAGCTGCTAGTCATAGAGTCATACAACATGGAAACAGGTCCTTTGGCCCAAACTGGTCCATGTTGACCATGGTGCCCAGTCAGCTAGTTCCAATTGCCTGCATTCAGTCCATATCCCTGTAAACCCTTCTCATCCATATACCTATCCAAATGTTTTAAATGTTGTTATTGTACCTGCCTCAACACTTTCTCTGGCAGCCCATTCCATATACACACCACTCTCCGCATGAAGAAGTTGCTCCTCAGGTCCTTCTTAAATCGATCCCCTCTCGTTCTCAATTTCCTATCCCTGGGGAAAAAGACTACATGCTTTCATCCTATCTATGCCCGTCATGATTTTATACACCTCAATAAGGTTACCCCTCATTCTCCTACGTTCCATGGAATAAAGTCCTATCCTGGCCAACCTCTCCCTATAACTCAGGTCCACTAGTCCTGGCAACATCCTCAAATCTTCTTTGCACACTTTCCAGTTTAACTATGTCTTTCCTATAACAGGGTGACCAAAACTGTACACAATACTCCAAGTGCGGCCTCATCAACAAATTATACAACTATAACATAACATTCCAACTCCTACACTCAATGCCTCGACCAGTGAAGGCCAGCATACTAAATGCCTTCTTCACCACCCTGTCTACCTGTGTCACTGCTTTCAATGAACTATGTACTTGTACTCCTAGCTCCCTCTGTTCCACAACACTCCTTGGGATCTTACCATTTACTGTATAAGCCCTACCTTGGTTTGACTTTCCAAAGTGCAACACCTCACAGTTATCTGTATTGAATTGCATTTGCCAATCCTCAGCCCACTTCCCTATGTGATCAAGATCCCTCTGTAATTTTTGATAACCTTCCTTGCTATCAATGATACCTCCTAATTTTGTATCATCTGTAAACTTATTAATCATTCCTTGTACATTCACATCCAGGTTATTTATGTAAATAACAAAGGTCCCAGCACCGACCCCTGTGGCACACTGCTAGTCACAGGCCTCCAGTCTGAGAAACAACCTTCAACCATCACCCTCTGTTTCCTACCATTGAGCCAATTTTGAATCCAATTACCTAGCTCTCCCTGGATCCCATGCGACCTAACTTTCATAACTAGCCTGCCATGTGGGACCTTGTCAAAGGTCTTAATAAAGTCCATATAGACAACATCCGCTGCCCTACCCTCATCTATCCTTTTGGTTACCTCTTCAAAAATCTCAAAGAATTGTCAGACATGATTTCCCACATACAAATCAATGCTGACTATCTCTAATCAGACCTTGACTATCCAAATGTTGGTTGATTCTATCCCAGTATCCTCTCCAATAACTTGCCTACCACTAATGTCAGGCTCATTGTCCTGTAGTTCCCTGGCTTGCCTTTGCTACCTTTCTTAAACAATGGAACAACATTAGCCACCCTCCAGTCTTCTGGAATTTCACCAGTGGCTAAAGATGAAGCAAAAATTTCTGCAAGGGCCTCTGCAATTTCTTTCCCTAGCTCCCACAGCGTCCGAGGATCGACTTGATCATGCCCAGGGGACTTATCCACCTTAATGCTCATTAAGGCCTAAAACACCTCCTCTCTGGTAATGTGTATGCAGTTCAAAACTTCCCAACTTGTTTCCCTTATGTCCTTAACATCCATGATTCTGTCCTCAGTAAACATGGAGGAGAAATCTCCCGCATCTCCTGTGGCTCCACACATAGATGGCCAAGTTGATCTTTAAGGGGACCTATTCTTTCCCTAGCCACCCTGTTAATATAGCTATAGAACCTCTTGGAATTATCTTTAACCATATCTTCCAGATCTGTCTCATACTTTTTGCTCTTCCGTCTTAGGTGTGCTCCTACATTCTTTATACTCACCTAGGGATTCACTTCAGCCTGATAGCTTATACCCATTGTGTGCCTTCTTCTTGTTCCTGACCAGAGCCTCAACATCCCTAGTCAGCCGGGGATCCCTAAACCTGCTAGCTTTTCCCTTCACCCTAACAGGGACATATTGTCCCTGGACTGTTGATATCACACTTTTAAAAGCCTCCCATTTGCCAGTCATTCCATTTCCTCACCCAATCGACCTCTGCTGGATCCTACCTAATGGTCCCAAAATTGGCCCTGCTCCAGTTCAGCACCTTAACCTGTGGACATGTCCTATCTTTTTCTATAACTATGTTAAAACTAAGAGAGTTATGGTCACTGGACCCAAAGTGTTCTCCTACTGATACTTCAGTCACTTGCCCAACCTCATTTCCTAAGAGGAGGTCCAGTGTTGTACCCTCCCGAGTAGGACCCCCTACATATTGATTTAGGAAACTTTCTTGGATACATTTGACAAATTCGACTGCGTCCAGGCTTTTTACACTCTGGGTGGCCCAGTCATTACAGGGGAAATTAAAATCTCTAACCAATACTACTCTATTATTCCTAGAGGTATCCGCAATCTCTCTACACATCTGCTCCTCTAGTACCCGCTGGTTATTTGGGGGTCTTTAATACAGTGCCAACAGAATGACCACCCCCCTCTTGTTTCTAAGTTCTAACCGTATGGCCTTATTTGATGACTCCTTAAGAATATCCTCTCTAAGCACTGCTGTTATGTCCAGCATTATCAAAAGGGCAACACCCCCTCCTCACTTACTTGTACTTCTGTCATACCTGTAGCTTCTGTATCCAGGAACACTGAGCAGGCAGTCCTGCCCTTCTATCAGCCATGTTTCTGTTATGGCTATAATACCCCAGTCCCCAGAGCCAGTCCATGCTCGGAGTTCGTCTGTCTTTACGGTCAGGACTCATGTGTTGAAATAAACGCACTTTAAACCAGAAGTCTTTTCCCTCCCTTTACTGTGCCTCTGGTTATCCTGAATAATAAACTTGCTCTCAATGGCTAATGTATTTTCTCTTGACTTCTCTTATTTAGTATCCCACCCACCTGCCAAAATTAGTTTAAGCCCTCCCAGGTAACACTAGCAAATCTCCCCACAAGGATATTGGACCCCTCTGGTTCAAGTGCAAACCATCTCTCTTGTACAGGTCACATCTACCCCAGAAGAAATCCCAATGATCCTAGAACTGAAAACCTTGCCCCCTACACCAGTTCCTCAGCCACACATTCATTTGATCTACCTTTCTATTTCCATCCTCACTAGTGTGCGGTGCTGAGAGGGTCTATCCTCACTGGCAAAGTCCTGCCCTCTCTCAACCAAGTTTCTGTAATGGCTACAACATCAAAGTTCCATATACTAATCTAAGCTTTAAACTCATCTGCCTTATCTGTTATATGCCTTGCATTGAATTAAATACAATTCAGACTGCTACTCCCAGTGTGTTCATTGACCTGACCCTGCCTGTTCCTCCTATTAGACTTACTTAACTTAACCTCACCTTCTCCTCAATCACAGCACATGCTGACCGACTGCTTTGGTTCCCACCCCCCGCCACACTAGTTTAAACTGTCCCTAGTGACACTCGCAAACCTCCCTGCAAGGAAAATGGTACCCCTCCAGTTTAGGTGCAACCCGTTCTTCTTGTACAGTTCCCTCCTCCCTGGAAGAGATCAAAATGATCCAGATATCCGAAACCCTCCTTCGTACTTCAGCTGCCACACAATCAACTGTATTTTCTTCATATTTCTAGCCCCAGTAGCACATAGGATAATCTCAAGATTATAACCCTAAAGGTCCCGCTTTTCAACTTTCAACCTAACTCTCTAAATTCTCTTTGCAGGACCTCAAACACAATTCTGTAGGAGCCCCACATTACTGGGGAGGTCCCATATGTATGTGTTCCAAATCTCCATTCTCCTGTGGAAATACATATGTGAACTATCTTTATGCTTGTGTTTCAGTTCCATGCCAGCGTGCAAGGCAATCTTCCAGCTTACAACATGAGAGTGAGGCTTCCCACAGCCGAAAAACCCGATACGTATGACGGTGAGGAACTAAATTTGATTCTCCTTCACAGAGTTTACTCTGTTGGGAGAGGGAGTGAATTCAAGCAAAAATAACAGGACTTGGACTAACAGTATGGAAAAGTTCAGCAGATCTGGCAGCATCTGTGCAGAAAAAAATCAGAGTTAACATTTTGGGTCCAGTGACCCCTCCTCAGAACTGGTCACCAGACCCGAAATATTAACTGTGATGTATTCTTCACAGATGCTGCCAGATATGTCGAGCTTTTCCAGCAACTTCTGTTTTTGTTCCTGATTTACAGCATCCATAGTTCTTTCAGTTTTTATTTGGACTAAGAGTATGTCTGTGTGTGTCTCTCTCTCTCTCTCTCTCTCTGCCTCCTTACCTTTCTTTGTGTCTTTCTCCTGGGTTCTTTCTTTGCCATGCATTTTCTTGTCCAGTGATGTCGGGTTTTCTGATTGCAGATGATGACGATATTGATGATGATGATGACGACAACAGGAGTGATGATAGTGGTGACATTGTCACAAGAGCAGTACTAAAACAGCAATCACAGCAGATTGTTGACTGGAAAACCAAAAAGAGGACTCGACCCAAGAGGAAGAAAGTGAAGCACAAATCAGTTCAGGACTGAAGCCCACTGGATCTAACCTGTTTGTGCACAGAGGCACAAGTCTAGTGGACACAGATCATATAACCATTTATAATAGTAGAAAACCAGTATATAGCCAGTAAAATATAAACAAATGTTTATAAACAAATCCTTTCATGTGACTATTAATTCTATCTCAAATATTTATTTTTAGATGTTTTCCCCACCACTAAAGTTAAACTGACTGGTCTGTAATTGCTGGGCCTATCTTTACTATCTTTATTTAACAAGGGCGTAATGTTTGCAAGTCTCCCATTCTGCTGAATCTAGAGAAGATTGGAAGATTAATGCCAGTGTCTCTGCAATTTCCAAGCTCACTCTCTTCAATATCCCAATCAAAACCCCCACCTCCACTCCACATTCCAGCTGTAATTGAGGATACAGTAGCTGAACTTAACTATACAGCCATAGTGATCTTGAACTAAGGAGCTGGGGAGACCCAGGTAAATGAGTTGTGCTGCTAATGCAGTAAAAGCTGCCAGCCCTGCCCCACACTCCATTTCAGTTTTTAAACATTTGATAGTGCTCATTCTTTACTGAAAAGTAACATCAGAAGGGACTTTCCAGTCTTTTACCTGCATATGTATCGTGTGCCCGGGTTTCCTTGGCTGAGGTATTAAACCTGGTGAGAATTGGAACACTACCCTGATTTTATTTCTAAACTGTGCAGGAACTTTCTTTCAAATTATAGGAGATAAAGCATTTCTAATTGTATTTTCCATGTTTGGTCAGATTAAATTAGACTCAGAGCCTAAACATTGATGATGTGTTCTTTGAATCTCTTACAATTCTGTAAAGATTCAGCTAATGGGACAATTGGGCAAGTCAGATTCCAGAATGAAATCTGGTTTGATACATCTTAGACAGAATTTTCCCAACTCCTGAACAACATAGGTCTTCGTGAATCAGTTAGGAAAATAGGGTGAGATCAACAGAAATGAGATTCTCAATATCAAGAAGAAAAAGTCTAATTCTCCAACCAAGCTTTGAATGGTGAGATCAGAATCTTGCTATTGAGTGCCAACAGATTAATTAGATGCTATTAATACCTAATCTCATCTCATTAATATGCAGTTTCCCACCCACCCAATAGAAATTGGATGGCAACAAATCCTGTCATGCAAATCAGAGTGGGTAACTGGTGACTTCAGCTCACTGCTTATTCCTTCAGGACTCCATACTGTACAGCAATCACTAATATCTCAGGGCACATTCTATAGACAACAATTACTTGCACCCCTCTTCTTAGATGGGAATAAGTTTCAGGAGACAGCAGAGCTCAGGCACATATATAAACAGTGTGGAGCTGGAGGAACACAGCAGGCCAGGCAGCATCAGAGGAGCAGGAAAGCTGACGTTTTGGGTCAGGACTCTTCTTCAGAAATGGGGCGGGGGGGGGGGGGAAGAGAGCTCGAAAATAAATACGGGGGGGGGGGGGGGATGGGGAAGGTAGGTGGGATGGTGATAGGTGAGTGCAGGTAGGGAGTGGTGGGGATTGGTCAGTGAGGTGGGAGGAGCGGATAGGTGGGAGGGAAGATGGACAGGTTGTGTCAGGTCGTGTCAGGTCAAGGAGGCAGAGATACGGGGGGGAGTGGTGGGGGTCGGTCATGGGATGAAGCCGGGGATGGGGAGATTTCAAAACTGGTAAAGTCCACATTGAGACCATTGGGTTGTAGGCTCCCAAGGCAGAATATGAAGTGCTGCTCCTCCAGTTTCTGGGTGGCGTCATTGTGACACTGGAGGAGGCCCAGGATGGACATGTTGCCCAGGGACTGGGAGGGGGAGTTGAAATGGTTCACAACTGGAAGGTGTTATCGTTTGGCGCAAACAGAGCGCAGGTGCTCGACAAAGCGGTCTCCAAGCCTCCGTTTGGTCTCATCAATGTAAAGGAGGCCACACTCGGAGCAGCGGATGCAGTACCTGCTGTGTTCCTCCAGCTCCACACTCTTATCTCTGACTGCAGCATCGACAGTTCTTACTATGTCTGAGAGAGCTCAGGCACACGGCTGTTTATTCAAGCAAACACTGGATCATTCAGGGAGAGCCACTCGAGACACTCCACATAGGGCTGCGTCGAATGCGCTCTACCCTAATGCAAACATATTCTCATTTTATACTTTTTTCTTGTCTTTCTGGCATCGCAGCATACTTTCCCTGCCCCTGTATACTATTGGTCAATAATGTTGCTTTGTCTAACTGTGATTGGGTCCTTGGTACATCACTCTACATTAGCAATTTGCTTGCTGCTATGTTCTCATTGGGCCATTTTAGTGCATAAAAAGTTTAACTTTGAATGGATATTCTGTTACTGTCAGAGATACCAAGCAATCCTTATCTTCTAGTTATGGCAGTTGTGGTCTGTTTAATCTGTTATCTTGTACCAGGATGAAACCAAGACAGTCAGGGCTTTTGAGCAACATTTTCTAGCTGTATTGTGTTTAACTGCCAATTGGTTACATCCGAAACTTTAAAAATTTTTCCACTACAAGGAATACAAAAGAATATTGATGTTTTTGATCAGTTACAACAAGGCCATGTGGTTATACCTCTTGCCAGAATTCTTTAACTAACAAGTTCTGTTCCAATCCTGCTAGTTTCGGTCCTTGTTGAAAAGATAAGCGTGTTGCCTTCTTTTATCTGAAATTAGTTTTTGAATCTTTCCTTCTAATGATTTTGCTGATTTTTTTGATATATGTAGATCTATACCTTCTTTGGAATCTATATCTATGATTATCTTGAAGAATATTACCTAAAACCTACTCGTAATATTATGACAGATTGATTTAAAAAAAAACTCAAGAGGAACATCTAATTATTGAGAAATGTTCTTATCTACGTTGGCAATTGCAGCTGTACATTCTATTGTATTTAAGACAGACCAGCTATTGTTTTACTTGATGAGACCACACCAAGAAAATGTTTTCCCACACTCTAACTACTGTCAGTCATGTTCAGCAGAGTTTCATGGGCAGTTATCGGCCTTTTGGTGCCACTCTGTCGTGGACACCCCTAACAATTACTATCCAGGGAGTGGGCCATGGTCAGCCCTGTGGGTCCAGTATAACCAGGTTGGGGAGTTGTAGTAAGTCAGTCAGGGAGCATTCGAGGGTCTGGTCAATCATCCGTTGGAACTACCCACCCGAGTGAATAAAAGGTGTTGGCTCATGGTCAATTCTGGGAATCTGTCCACTAAATGTCAAGGGGCTGCTGTTCTCCTAGAGAAGCTGTTAAACTTAGTTGTGGGGATTGTAATAGCATGCTGGGATGCAGAAGTGACAATTCTGAAGAAGGGCAATTCAAAATGTATGGTGGAACTAATACCAGGTGGGAGGGAAAGGAGTAATGTACGTGAGTGGAGTGTGGTTTGGGTGGGGGGAGGGGGATCAATAGTCAGCCCCACCCTGGCTTTGCAGGGGGGCATAGTGCACTAATATGTCTGGTATGACAATGTGGTATGCCTGGGACTCAGAGGAAACTGGAGAAATGAACAATTAAATAAACGTGTTTGGTTGGAATTTGGCAAGATCAAAGCTGATGAGTTTGACAGGGAGGGCAACCAAGAAGGAGATGTGAAGATTTGGGAGGTCACCAAGATTGAGAGGCTGAGTCTGTGACACATTGCAACTGCTGTCTCCTTCCATCAACATCAAAACAGCAGGTGTGGAGATGAAATTGACTGCCACCACATCCTTAGCGATGGAGTGTTTCACTGTGTAAAGGAAGGGCTCCACTTTCATGTGATTTATGCTATTTTATCATATATCATAGAATCCCTACAGTGTGGTGATAGGCCCTTCGGCCCAACAAGTCCACACTGACCGTCAATGCATCCCACCCAGACCCGTTCCCCTGATAACCCAACTAATCTACACATCTCTGAACACTATGGGCAATTTATCATGGCCAATTCACCTAGCCTGCACATCTTTAGACTGTGGGAGGAAACTGGAGCACCCGGAGGAAACCCATGCAGACACAGGGAGGACATGCAAATTCCACACAGATAGTCGCCTGAGGGTGGAAATTAAAGGGCAATAAAATTAAATAGACACCTAGACAGTGCAGGTGAAAGACACCTGTGATCACAAAATGCTGTATGTGAACCTTACATACTGTGTGGAGTACATATCCTGGCTAAAGCAAAGCATTCTTTAAAACATTATGAATTAATTGCACAAATGGCATTGATGCAGTGTATTCTGGCCTGGAAAGATTCTAAGGGTCTAAGGTAGAGATTCGGAGGAATAAGTGGCGAGTGGGTGTCATCACATAACTGCTTTGACTTCTATGTCTGAAATTCCTAGTGTCTAGTTTCTATCTGGACAGTCCTTGCTTGATGCCTCACCTGATTTTCTCAATGTCCAAAATTTCTCACCATGGCCCATGTCGTTCAAGTGCTAGGAAGATTCTGCTCATTAACTTGGTTTTTTCTCCCCACAGATACTGCCAGACCTGCTGAATTTCTCCAGCACTTTATTTTATTTCAAATCTCCAACATCCGTAGTATTTCCCCCTTATATTACTGTACCAAACTTTATCTGAACCACGCTGAGTGCACCATGTGCAGTTCTGGTCATCATATTATAAAAAGAATACAGGCTTATAGAGGCACTGGAAGAGGGAGTGGAGAAGATTTCCAATATGATCCCAGAAATGTGTGTGGGGGCATTTCAGGAAAAGGTTGACTGGCTGGTTCTCTTTTCTCTGAGAAAATAAAGGTCTGAGAGGTAATGTAATGAAGGTCTTTAAAATTCTGGAACACTTTAAAAAAAAACAAATACAAAGAAAGTGTTTTTTTTTCTTGTGGAACAAGAGTATAACTTGAGCCCATGAATATAAGATAGTCACCAAGAAATCAAATAGGAAATTCAGAAGAAACATCTTTGCCAATGAATGGTAGGAATTTGGAAGTTGCTAAACAGGGCTGGTTGAAGTGAATAGTACAGGTTTATTTATGAGGAAATTAGACAGGCATAAGATGGAGAAGAAAATATGGTTATAAGGTAGATGAAAATGATAAAAGACGAGAGGAGGCTTGAGTGAATCCTAAATACTAGTATTGATTGGTTACTCCAAATGGCCTTTTTTTTAAGTGACATATCTCCTGCA